AAAGGAAGAAAATCTCCTCTGCCAGATCGCTTTCTCCTGAGAGGATTGTGGGAGATAAGTCCAGGGTCCTTTGGCTCTGTCCCATGACCCTCAGCATCTGGTGGGGGACAAAAGTGAAGAAGGCTGCGGTATCCGAAAGAGCCTCTTTGGCACCGAAAGCAGCCTACATCTGGCAGACACCAGCTTCAGTGCCACCAACCTGCAGGAGAGCGGACAAAAAATATTTTGTCCCGTCCAAGAATCTTGAGTTCCTCTTTAATCACCCACAGCCGAACTCACTGGTGGTAGACGCAGCACAAGAGCGGGCCAAAACACCACAGTATAAGACAACACCAGATGTCAAAAAGCTAGACCTATTCAGCAGAAAAGTATATTGCTCGGCAACCCTGCTCCTACGCATTTCTAATTATGTCGCCTTGTTACCGAATCACAACTTTGACAATTATGAAAAGATAGCACAGCTTCTTCAATACCTGCCAGAAAGCAAGCGTTCCCTCTTGTGCAAGAGGGTTTTGCAGTGGTACGAGCGAGTTTGCAGATTTTGCAGGATGTGGTGGACACAGCAGCCCGCACCACTGCGACTGCAATAGCGATGAGGCATTCATCTTGGCTTACTTCCGCAGCAGTCCCAAAGGAGCTTCACACTAAAGTGGAAGACCTCCCATTTGAAAAAAACCAGTTGTTTGCAGAAAAGACGGATGAGGTCCTCCACTCTGTAAAAGATTCCCGGTCTACGCTCCACACCCTGGAGTGGTACACACACCCCTTTTGGTGCAAGAGATACTATCCATACCAGAGAAGGTACGGATACCCCTCTCAGAGACAACAACAAAAAGAGAAGAGAAGTTCATAAAAAAGCCCCAGAGGAAATTAAAAAAAAAAAATCTCTCATGACCAGGGTTTGACTAAAGTGCAGTAAATAGGACCTAGAACCACATTAAACAATGTGGACAAAACAAAATATTGAATCAATAAGTGAACACTGCCCACTAGTACCGAATGAGACAGTTTCCTGCAGAAAAACAGTATGGCTACGTCTACACTGGCCCCTTCTTCGGAAGGGGCATGCTAATTTTGAAAGTGGGAATAGGGAAATCTGCGGGGGATTACTTTGAAGTAGGAATAAGAGATCCTCCGGAATAGGGCTTTATTCCGGAGGATCGGGCCAGTCTAGACGCTTTTTTCCGGCTTTTCCCCAAGCCGGAAAAAAGCGTCGGACATGTTTATTTAAATCCCGCGGGGGATATTTAAATCCCCCGCGGATTTCCCTATTCCCACTTTCAAAATTAGCATGCCCCTTCCGAAGAAGGGGCCAGTGTAGACGTAGCCTATGTGATTATGTAACATAGTGTATATGTGCAAGGAGACAGAATTAAGGGGAGGACTGATGGGTTTTACAGGCAGTCTTAATTCTGGCCTTTTCTGATTACTGCACACTTGAGCAATTTTAAGATTTTTTTAAATAGAGAGTTTAGGGTGTGTTATTTGTTTTGTTTCTATCATTACAAATCAGTAATTTTTATGACCTGGACTCCTCACTTTCACAGAGAGTGGAGAACAAGAACTGAAACACACTTTCTGTCAGTGTCTACATCTGGAACAAAGAGTAAGAAAGAAATTTTCTCAAAGCACAAGTGATTCTCCTGTGTAAAAGGGAAGAAGAAAACGTGTGTTTAACCTTAGGAGAAGTGAAAGAAGGTAAGTGAGAAAGCAGAAATGGACAATAAACCAGCATGGGATCCCAGGGCAAAATATGAAGAACTTCCTCCATAGAACTCCACTGGAATTCTCAGAGGGGTAGTTGTTTTAGTCTGTAACCGAAAAAAGATACAAACAAACAATGAATGGTCCTGCAGCACCTTGGAGACAAACAAAAATATAAATAGTATCAAGAGCTTTCCAGAGCACAACCCACTTTTTCAGATGAATGGTACAAGGAGTCCAGAAGTGCAAATAAATAGCAGAAAAAGAGGGGAGATGGGGCAGGAAAGAGAAAAAAAATCTTGTCAATTATAGTGTCTGCTAAATAAGGTTAATAGAGTGGGCTATAAAAGCTTGATACTTAGCTTTCAATGTCATTAGGGGATTGACTTTATCCACCCATTCAGTTCATGTTTATGTTCTAACCTTAATTAAATGTCAAATTTGAAAATGACAGAGTTGGCATTGGATTTCTCAGTAACCTGCCCCTGCAAATAAAATCTGATACCAGATCTGTCCATATATCTATACAAGAGACATCATCACAGGACTTAATCACATAAGCCACCACATCAGAGGCTCATACAACTGCACATCCACTAATGTGATATGTGCCAGCAATGCCCCTCTGCCAGGTATATTGGCCAAACTGGACAGTATGACAAAGGATTAATGGACACAAGTCTGATAGTCGAAATGGTAACATAGAGAAACCTGTGGGGGAACATTTGAACTTGCTCAGACACTCATTAATGGATCTAAAAGTGACCCTACCCTTACAAAGCAATTAAAAAAAACAGCTGGAGAGAGAAACTGCTGAGCTTGCCTTCATTTGCAAATCTGACACATTTAATCAAGGTTTGAACAAAGACATGAACAAGATGGGCCACTATATTCAACACCCTAATGACATAAAAAAAAATTGAGTGGGCTCTAAGTACTATACTTTGGTTTCCATGTCTTTAGGGTGTTGAATAAAGCAGCCCATCCAGTTCATGTCCATTCAGACACATCTGAACAAAGACATGAACTGGTTGCACTCCTTGCTCCATTCTTCTGAAGAAGCGGGCTGTGCCTGCGATAGTATCTACATATGTATATGTGTGTACAGATGTGTTAGTCTTTAAGGTGCTGCAGGACCATTTGTTGTTGTTTTTAAAACCCTAACATTGACATGGCTCATTACGAGGACTGTGAATAAGCCATAGCCCGTCGGGCCGCAGCACCAAGTCAAAGGGAGCGCGCCTAGCGCAGACCACCTGGCGCAGCTGCAACCTGACATGTCCACGGAGCACCTTGCCCTGTCTCACCTGAGCAGTCCTGTGGGGTGTACGCGCTGCTCAGCTGGTCCTTGTGAAGAGCCAACCGTCCAGTTCATGCCCACGTGGGGTGCGGCCTGTTCCCGATGGTATGTACTTCCGAACCCGCCATCGGTTTTTAAAATCTCACCAGTCACGAGGCGGCAGGTGGGTGCCGCGCGAAAAACGCACCCCCAGGCATCGCAGCCAATCTGCGAGGACAACGGCGCACCTGGCCGAAATCGTGCGCTGATTGGCGGCTGGTTCCACGAGGCGAAGCCAATGAGGAGCCGGGAGAACCTGGCAGGGGCGGGGGGCAGGGTTCTGGGGGTTGCCGCGGGGTGGGAGCTACTGCGCCAACTGCGTATGTGGCGCGAGGGGGCGGGGGCT